AATCATGTTGTATAAATAAAAAAAGCTCGCCTAGAGACAAGGCAGTGAAAAATTGGGCTCACGCCATGCTACTATATACAAACTTGGTCCTGCAACAATTACCGGTAAAAACTGGGCTCACACCATGCTACTATATACAAACAAGGTCTTGCAACAATAACCCTAAAATAGTACTGACCAAGGCAAGCTGATACCTGAGCATTCTTAAACGCCTAACATAAAATGGAATGAAGTAAACATGCATCCAGAAAAATATCAAAAAGACAGAACAAAGATGGCAAAAACATCCATGCACCACATAAAAGGTCAAACGATAGCTACAGACACAAAGGCGAACAACCAAAAAAGTTGAAAATACGACAACTGCCCAGACGATAACAAAGAAAAACCCAAAGATCCCAAATTCCCTCAAAACCCATAACAGCAAACGCCAAAAGAAAAAAGAGTGAACAGCCCAACACAGCATGTGATCCCGCCATAAAGGAGGAGACCCACAACCCCTTCTTCTTTTTCATTCTTAAAGTATTCTCAACATAACATCTTTATTTTTTTTTTCAGCCTCTCACTTAATCAGCAGTTCAAAAATTGCAATCACTTGGCCATCATGACTTTCACGAACTCGTCATAGTTGATTTGGCCATCACCATCCACATCAGCCTCGCGGATCATCTCGTCAACTTCTTCATCTGTGAGCTTCTCGCCGAGGTTTGTCATGACGTGGCGGAGCTCAGCAGCAGAGATGAAGCCGTTCTGGTCCTTGTCGAAAACGCGAAATGCCTCCTTAAGCTCCTCCTCCGAGTCAGTGTCCTTCATCTTGCGGGCCATCAGATTCAGAAACTCCGGGAAATCTATGGTTCCATTGCCATCCGCATCAACCTCGTTAATCATGTCCTGCAGCTCAGCCTCTGTCGGGTTCTGCCCCAGGGACCTCATCACAGTTCCAAGTTCCTTGGTCGTGATGCAGCCTGCCAAAAGTTTACGAGGAGAACAAGAAAATGACCAGGGAATATTTAAAATGAGATATGAGTTGCATGCTGCAAAAAAATATCAAACATGGTAACAGAAAACAAAAAATTTGGTAAAATGAGTGGCAAACTAATGTTTGCGCAACTTTATTCAATCGGATATGTACCAGATTTCGATGAGTTCGAAATTCGTGAACAGTAACTTGAGAATTGGTAAAAGATGCCGGCCTACATAAACTTACTTTGTTACAACTTAAGGAAACCTAATAGAGTTTTGGAGGAAAGTGATTGCAGTTCCAGTAAAGAATATTTATAGACATATGGTTTCAGTTACATATATGAACAACTACCCGCAGCTATCAAAGAATGGTCAACATTTACCACTTCAATGAACTTCGAGATCCATAGACAAGAACTTAGATTAGATAAAATGTCTCAATCTAAACAATGTTCCCTGTTACCTGTTATTTAGTACAGGACAATTTCTAAAGTATCTTCAATCAAAATCCAACAAATTTAGCCGAAATTAATCGCACTATTTGTAAGGAAAAGTTCAACGTTCTACCGAATAAACAATATGATTCTAGTTACAACTACACACCAAATTAACTGCAGTATTAAAGAACTGTCAAATCCAATCATATCACAAACTCATCTCATATCAGGCAATCATCAAACATAGTCATCCGAATACATGTAAGCCATCTTCAATGTGATTTTATCAAGACAAACAAATGTAACAACGGTGATACGAGAAACTTTACGACCAAACCAAGTTAACAACCTCTGGATCTTCTATGACTTGCCATTGTTTCCGAGTACATAATATTGGCTTACACAGACTCAATAAACAATCGGTCTCCAAATCCTTTCACAACCAAAACAACATATCAAATTCCCAATTCAAGGCCACTAAACAAGATTACCAAAAAGAAAAAGGCAATACGACTAATAGGTCTATTCTGCATCACAAATTCACAACAGCAAAACGAATACAAATCATATGCAAATAACAACCAAGAAACTCCGAGCAGCTAGAAAAAAAGGTATCAAAAATTACAGCGGCGAAAGTCGAAGTAGATCCATACAGAAAGGGATCAAGTAAAAAAAAAAAAAAAAAACAGCCAATAAATCCACAGAAAACACACAGAAACAAGAATAACTGCAAAAATTGATTTAATTGCTCGTGTTGTAAGAAGGGAACTGACCGTCGCCATCCTTGTCGAAGAGAGAGAAAGCTTCCTTGAATTCAGAGATCTGATCATCGGTCAGCTGATCCGCCATTTCTACTTCCTCTACAAAGTTGAAGAAAAATTTCTCGGCTAAAATAATATCCCCAACTCCAATGAGAGCGTTCGCGAAGAAATCGAGTCGAAAAATTGCAAATATAGTATCACATGTTGGACCATTTTGTAATTATGACAAAATCTGAAACGTTGTCACAACTACTCACAAGGAAGGATGGCAATTGGACGAGCCCCGGCCTCAACTGCATCCTCCGGCCCACCTCGTGTTTGAAAAGAGAAATTTACCCCCACACACTATTCAAATCAGGCAAAATTTCATTTTTGGTACGTTAACTTGTCCAAAGTCCAATTTTGGTACGTTAAGTTCCCCTTAATCAAAATTGGTACGTTTACTTACATTTTTTATCAAATTTAGGATACTAATCCGGCGGACCCGGATAACACAATGACATGGCAACAATTTAAGCGACGTGGTTGTTTTCTTAACACACTGCATCAGTTTACGTGGCATAGCAGATTACGTGGCATATGTTGGGGTTATTTTCCCTCGTTTTTTTCTCTTCTTTTCCCCCAAACCCTAATTTTTTTCCCCAGACGAGAGATGTCTTCTTCATCAACCTCCTCTCCATACACCTTGAATTGCCATTGCGGTAAAAAAACTCAATTACGCATTTCGAAGACGAGCTCCAATCCTGGAAAAAAGTTCCATGGATGTCAGAAGTGGAACGGTGGTGGTTGCAACTTCTTCAAATAGTCTGAAAGTACATCGACCACCCACTCGCAAGTTTCATCTGATTCGATCTTGGAATTGGAGCATAAGTTTTCTCTGATTGAAGAGAATAAAACATCAATGGTAGAGTTGGAGCGGAAGATTTTGGTTCTTGAAGCAGAAATGCAGGCCTTGAAAACATTGAACAATGCTCAGTCATCGTCTACTTTGAAGAAACTGAGATGCTTGGAATTTCTTATTGTTATCACTTGGTTGGTCTGTTTTTTCATTGTAGTGATAAGATGGTAAACAAGTTCAGGGCCATGTGTTTTAGATGTTTTTTAAAAATGTAATGGTACACTTGGTTTCTCTGTTATTTCACTTTGTTTGAAGAATGTAACAAGTGTACCAGCATTTATTTTGGTTGTTTGAAGAATGTAATGAAACTCTGATTTCGTGTGCTCAAGTTTATTTTGGTTGTTTATTTTGCTCTGCTATGTTATTTCTTTTTTGTATCTGATTGTAGTGAATTTGTTTCTATGAATCATAATTGTGATTTAATTAAAAACATGTTTTCCTCGTAACTTTACTTGTAACTCATGACAAAAATGAAACTATTATCATGACAAACATTAACAAAAATGTTACACTGAAACTGAAACTGCACAAAAACAAAACCACCAACTACTGTCCTTATGTTGTTCAAAATGAAACTGCACCAAAACAAAACAAAACCATTCCATTTAAGTTGCACCAAAACTAAATCACCAAAATAACAACTCCATACTTTCATTACATCAAAAGCACCAAAGTAGTTCAATGTTGTTCAACAATTCCAACAAAAGCACCCAAAACATCAGAAAGTAGCTAAATGATTACAAAAATAGACATCAAATTCAACTTCTCAAAAACAGTTAAGTAATTACATTCACTTGGGAGCATTGCCCTTCTTATCATTCTTTTTCAGTGCATTCATGGAACCAACTAAGCTGCTTAGGGAAGTATACTTTTGCCCAGCTTCTTGAAATATTTCATTCATCCTTGTTTCATCCTGTGATATGCAACTCTCTTGATTAGGGATAAAATGGCCACCAACAACAGGTGTTGGTCCTCTAATAGTGACACTTGTAGTTGGCCCTCTCTGCTGAAATTGTTGAAAGACTGTAGGTGGTTGCTTGAATTGCTGCAAGTTAGCTTTCTGAGGGGCATTTGTATGCTTCACATTCCTCAAGGTTGGTCTTGTATATTTTACCTGAGTGGATTCAGAATGCACAAATTAATACATACATAAATGGTGATATTTCATAGTAAATGCACTCATAAAGCATAATTGAATATTTAATGAATACATATAACCTTTGAGGTATCTTGAGTTGATATTCCAATTGCTGGAGCAGGTTCACCTCTGTCCTCTCTTCTTACCTGTACAAATTTGATAAAATGTTAGATAAGGAAGAAGTGTAATTTAAATAACAAATGCTTAAATTTCCAAGGATTATATGTACCTGACCATCTCCAGTGTTTGTGGTATTCACATTCTGACTTGAGCTGGGATTTGTAGCCTTCGATAAGGGACAACCCTTCTTGTTGTGGCCTTCCACATGACAAAATGAGCATTTACAAGTAACTTGTTGTCTTCTTATGGTTTTCTCATTGGTCACAAGTCTTGGCTTCCCTCTAGGCCTTTTTCTCCCCTGAGGCTCATCTGGTTCTCTTCTTCTAGCCTTACTTGGCCTTCCAGCTGATCTGCCAATATTAGGGGGCACAGGTGGTATAAAACCAGTAGGAGCCCACTCTTTCCTGCCATTCATAGGCATAATTGCTGGTTCATAAACTCTCTTATAAGTTTCAACCTTGTAGCAAGAATGTGTAAAGTCTTCAACTGCCCACCCTTGCAGATTCACTACACTTAATGCATGAAGGCAAGGGATTCCACTTAATTTCCACTTCCTACACCCACAAGTGTGTGCCCTCATATAAATTTTGTACTGCTCTCCATAGCCACATTCAATCTGGAAGTTGTAGTCATCAGATTTCAGTGAAATACATTCCACCAAGTTATCAGTCTGTCTATCCATGATTTCCTTAATTTTAGGGCACAAGACAAAATTTCACTTCTTTGAAGCTCTGTCCCTATTTTCTTGCATTCTTTTCATTAAGTAGTTCATGATCCATTCCAGCATACTCAAAATTGGTTCTTCTCTGGCCTCAAGAATGTTACAATTAAAGGTCTCACATCCATTGTTGAGTAGGATATCACACCTTAAGAATTCACTGATGTGAGACCTACTCCATTCAGTAGGTGGTTTAGTAGCCAACCACTTGTAAGCACTCTCCCCACTCTCCCCAAATCCTTCAATTGTTGCATTTTCCTGCTGAAATCATTAATGGTTGATGTTGTGGCACACCTCCATAGAGCATTTTTCAGTGCTATTCCTCTGTGCCAAGCTTTTGTGAAATTCCCAAGCAAGTGTCTAACACAAAATCTATGATCACAGTTAGGCAAAATATTTTGGAATGCTTGTATTAAGCCTTTCTGTTTATCAGAGATAAATGTCCATTCATGTTCATTCTTGATTTCCAAATCATTCTTTAGCAATATCAAAAGCCATTCCCAATTATCTGTATTCTCCACACTAACAACTGCATATGCCAAGGGGAAAAGAGAGTTGTTAGGATCAATCCCAACAGCTGTGAGCAATATACCTTTGTTAGGTCCTTTCAAATGGCAACCATCCACTCCTACCAAAGGTCTGCAACCAGCCTTAAACCCCTGTTTCAGTGCATTCAAACAGAGGTAAAACCTCTGAAATATGTTCTCACCATTGTACTGATTAGTATCTAAGACTACAGTACTCCCAGGGTTTGTTCTTCTTATTTCTTCACAATAATCCCACAACAGAGCATACTGAGCATGGGGTTGTCCCTTCTGATCTGCAATAGCTTTCATCTTGCATCTATATGCTTGTTGTTTGGAGATATTCACAATCAACTCCCTGGCAGCAGTTTTTCTAAAACCTTTAACATTTCTATTAGGATCATCTTGCCATTCAGTGGCTTACTTCTCTGCCAACCAACTAGACTTCAAATTTCTGACTTTTCCTGTGCCTGCACAAGTGTGCCTCTGCTGTACTTAATGATCTGGAAGGTTTGCTCACCCACAATTTTACTGCATTGATTTTTCAAGGACACAAACTATCATCACATTTTGCCCTTAGATACTGTTTATCATTCTTTACAATTTTTATATTTCTCTTGCATTTGATTGCCCTGGAATGAATAGCTGTCCTAAGTTCTTTTTTTGAGGTAAACATCATTCCTACTTTCAAGGTTGGATCATACAGCTCCATTGGGTTAAAAGCAGGAAACTGTTGACCCTTCACTTCCTCATCAGAGCTGTTCTTACCATCTATATCCTCCCTGTAGACCACATCTACCTCATCATTATTGTCTTCCTCATTGGGATCATAATTGTCTACAGTTTCAAACAAAGAGTCATCCCCACCCCACTCAGCTTCAGTATCAACATTTTCAGAAAATAACCTATCATCTATGATATCATCCCTCATGTCATACTCCCACTCATACAACTCATCACTGTCATCATCTCCTTCACTATCATCATCCTCACCATTCACATTTTTTTTTTCTACTTCACAGTCATTCTCATTTGCTTCTTCATCATCAACTACTCTAATGCAGGTGTAAGCGTCCGGGTTCGGTTTGGAATAGATTGGTTCTTGTCCTCGCCGGTAGAACGCCGGAAACCTGCAAATAACTCTCACACCGGGGGTTGGGTCCGGTGAAGAGCCTTCGATGCTTAAGTCAGTATGTGTATCAGTATACTGGAATTGAGTAATGAATAGAGTGTCAAGGGAGAAAGGCTCACCCCCTTTATATAAGGGTGAGATACATGCCCTAAGAGCTGCCCGGATGAGGTGAGCTGGCTGCCCAAGCTGCCCGTCCGTACTCTGACACGCCGTGCACATGTCAGAGGTGGCGCAGGACGTTGGGGCTTGTCAGAGGTGGTTATCACCATCACCCACTACATTGTCGACACGTGTTCCCCCAGCACATGGGGTAAATATTCTCTGGAGATTTTAGTTAGAGGCTCTTACGCGCGCCTACGGTACACGCGCCCGCAACTAGGTCGACTGTGGGTTCCTCGAAGCAATCGACCTGCCGAGGTCGAGTAGTTTGCTCGATCATGCGTCTGGTCAATTATCTGAATATTCGGTCTTCCCGCCCTTTTGGTTTGGCTTCCCCTTGGTTTTTAGCCTTCTCGACCGGCCAAGTAGGCCGGTTTATTCTTGAGTATATAATATCCC